TTTTGGGGGGGGGAAAACCCCTTTAACCGCAAGGGAACCGGGGGGGGGGGGGAAAAACCCCCCCTGGGATTCCCTCATTTGGGGGGGGCTCCCAGGGGGGGGGCCTCCCCCCCCCCCCCCCCATTCCCCTTTTCTTCTTTGGCCACCCCCCCCCAGCACTTCCTCCTCAGGCATTTGGTCCTGGCATTTTTTCCCCTCCTCCTCCTCCTCGCCTCCCGTTTTTTAACACCCCCCCCCCCCCCCCTCGCTCAAAAAGGCGTGCGCCAGCAAGGCGTGCCGGCTTTGAGCCAGGCATGCATTCGGGCATGGACCCGGGCCAGTGCGAGCGGAACCCGCGCTGCACCCGCGGGTACAAGCACGGCGGGCTTGGCGGCCACTGCCGCCTCTGGCGGCGCGACACGAGCGACGGCCGAGCTCCTCTGCGCGGCGTGACGGCGGCCTGCAGGGCGGACGCCTTGTCCGAACCTTTCCCCGAACTTTGCTGTAGGCGTCGTGGAGCCGGTGATGGGGGCGGGCGAGGCGGGCTGGGCAGCGTCCGCCTTCCCGCGCGTGTCGGGCGCGCTCGAGTCGATCGGCATCTCGCTCGCGAGGCAAGCCGCCGAGCTGAGCGATGTCGCAGGAGCCGACCTCGCCTTTTTGGGACACATGAGCCACGCGCAGCTCCGAGCATTGGGCGAGGAGTGCATGGCGCTGCCCGAGAGCGCCCGTGGCGACTTCGTCCGCGAGCTAGTGTGGCGGCGCTGCCAGGACAGAGGCGGCGCGTCGGCTGGCCAAGAGCCGAGCGCGTTTGGCGGGCCGCCTCCGCCGCCGCCTCCGCCGCCGCCTCCGCCGCCGCCACTCCAACCGGCGCCGTTTTCGCTTCCGCCGCCGCCTCTTCCTCCGCCGCCGCTTCGACATCCGCCGCCGCCATTCCAGATGGGCGCCGTTCAGATTGCCGTCCCGCTGGCGCTGCCATTTGCTGGCCAGCCCCAATATTGGAATGCCCAGCAGCTAGCACACGCCCAGGTGCAGGCCCAGCTGGCCCAGCTGCAGTGCCACCAGTCTCTCGTTCAGTGGCAGCAGCAGCAGCGGGAGCAGCAGCAGCAGCAGCACGCAATAGCAGAGTAGGTTGCGCAGAAAACACCGCAGAGCTTTCTTCCACTGTCTTGGTTACCATCTTGTGTGTGTACAAACCAGGAAACCTCTCTCTCTGCATGCGCGAGCAATGGTCTATCTGTTGACTGCTCTCCCGGTCCCGCACCGCGCACGTCCTCCAGCGTGCAAGTTATACACACAGCACACACACACACCTCGCGCTGACCCATGCCCATCATGCACCGGTTCCAGAACTAAGCAGAGCCGCCGCGCCCCGCGCCCCGCCCACCCCGCCCGCCCCGTCCACGCCCACCCCGCCCCCCTCGCCCGCCTCGCCCACCGACCGCCGCCGTGGCGCCTGCAGGCTGAGCCTGGGGCGCGGGGCGCGAGGGCGGCTGGTGGACAAACGTCGCCTGCGCCGCCACCAGCCGCCCAGTTGCGGCGATGGGCAGCGCCGGCTGGCGGCAGGCCGGGCAGTTGCTGTCGCGCTCCAGCACACGCGGCGCACACGTCTCGCAGTACAGCGCGTGGCCGCACGCGAAGCGGACCGAGCGCGGCGCGGCGTAGCAGAGGTCACACTGGCGCTCCTCGGCCCCAGCCGTCTCCTCCACCTCCCCCGCCGCTTCGACTAGCGCCTCCAGCCGCGGCAGTGCCTCTGCGAGCGGCATCCGCCTCTTCTTCCTCACGAGAGCCAGCCCAACCACCAGCCGCGCCAGCTCCTTGGCCTGCGCCGCCGACCAGCCCGCGTCGACCGCCGCGATGCCCTCCGCCGTGTCGGGCTCCTCCAGCGCATCGTCGCACGCGTTGAGCAAGCCGACGGCGCCGCGGCCGGTCAGGCTGACGAGCAGCGTGATGCCGAGCGCATACCCGTCGGTCAGTTGCGAAGCTTGGTTGTCCTGCATTATGATCGGGTCCATGTAGCCTGGCTTGCCAAAGATACGCTGCGTCGACAGGTGCGACACCTGTCCATTGCTGCCGGCCGTCGCCTCTGCCGCGCGCGCGAGGCCCACGTCGGCGAGGTAGCCGTTGCCGCGCTCGTCGAGCAAGATGTTGCCCGCCGAGACGTCGCGGTGCAGGATCATGGGCGAGAGCGTGTGCAAGTAATGCAGCGCGCTGGCGGCGTCGCGCAGCACGCGGAGCCGTGCGGCGGAGGAGAGCGGCGGAGGCGGCGTCTCGAAGCCGAGCATGCGGAGCCGCTGCAGTGCAGCTGGAGTGCGGTAGAGGCGGTCCTCGAGGCTGCCGCCGCGGCAGAGGGGGTAGACGAGGCACGCTCTCGCCGGCGCCAAGCAGACGCCGAGCAGAGGGAGCAGGGACCGGTGGCACGCCGCGCTGAGCGTGCGCACCTCGCTCTGCAGCTCGGCGAGGCCTTGGGCGCCGACACCGACCAGCGCCGTCTTGACCGCGAACCCGCAAGCGACGCGCGGAAGCGACGGCAGCGCGTCGCAGCGGTAGACGCGCCCAAACCCTCCCTCACCCACCTTGCGCGCCTCGGCAAAGCCGTCGGTCGCCGCGATGAGCTCGTCGAGAGGGACGGGGGCGGGCGGCGCGGCGGCGGCGGCGAGGGCGGCGACACTCGCCGCCGCCGACGCTGCCGCCGCTGCCACCGCCGCTGCCGCCGCCTCCGCTGCCGCCGCCTCCGCTGCCGCTGCCTCTTGAGCCTCCGCCGCTGCCACTGCCGCCACTGCCGCCACTGCCGCCTCCACAGCCGTCGCCTCCGCCGCATCCGCCTCCGCCTCCGCCCTCATCCTCGCCTCCTCCCTCTCCCTTGCCGCCTCCTCCCTCGCCCTTGCCTCTGCCTCCTCCCGTGCCCGCGACGCCGCCTCCGCCTCCTCCGCCGCCCGCGCCGCCGCAGCCTCTGCTACCACCCGATCCGCTTCCTCCGCCACTCGCGCCTCCTCCGCCGCTCGCGCCTCCTCCGCCTGCTCCGCCGCTCGCTCCGCCGCCCGCGCTGCCGCCGCCGCCGCCTTCTCATCCTTCTGCCGCTGCCGCTTCAGCGCCCTGGCCTCGCGGACCTTTCGCTCCGCCAGCTCGTCGCGCAGCTGCCGCGCCGCCCGCAACGCCTCCGAGCCGTCGGCGGCTTCGGTGTTTGCGTTGATCGCCGCCCTGAGCGCCTCGAGATCGGCGTCGCCTCGCTCGCACGCCTCAACCGCCTCGCGCAGCGCCGCCTCGGCAGCATCGCGCGCCTCCGCCGCCTCCGCAGCCGCTGCCGCCTCGCGTGCGGCCGCCGCGGCCTGTTCGGCTGATTCTGCGGCCGCCGTCTCCCCCTCAGCCTCTGCTGCGGTCGACGAGTGCTCCTCGAGGGCGCGCACGCACTCGGCGTGGCCCTTCTCCTCGGCCCACTCAAGCGCCGTCTTGCCGTCAACAGTGCGCGCCGCGTCTGCGCCCGCCCGCAGCAAGCGCCGCACGACGGCGGGGTGGTTGAAGAAGGCGGCGAGCATCAGCGCGGTGCAGCCGCTGCGGTCCTGCAAGTCGATCTCCGCGCCACGCCGCAGCAGCAGCTCAACCACCCGCTCGTGGCCGCTGCGGGCGGCGACCATCAGCAGCGTGAGGCCGCTCAAGCCGCTTCTCTCGTACGTCGCGTCGACCCGCCCGCCGCCCTCAAGCCACTCCAGTATCGCCGCCTCCTCGCCTCGCCCAGCCGCTGCCACGATCGCATCGGAGGCTCTCACGCCGCCGCTCGACGCCCGCCCCGCCGCCGCCGCTGGAGATAGCGTCGTCGCGACTCTCGATCCAGCCGAGGAAGCGCCGCCGGAGGAAGCGCCGCCTGCGCCTCTGCCGCCGGCTGCCGTCGCCGTGAGCCGTCCCGCCACTACCTCCTGGACGTGCTGCCTGAAGGCCTCGACGCACTCGGCGTGGCCCTCCTCCTTGGCCAGCTGCAGCGCCGTCTCGCCGCTCGTGGTGCGCACCGCCGTGTCAGCGCCCGCCCGCAGCAAGCGCCGCACGACGGCGGGGCGGTTGTGGTGAGTGGCGTACATCAGCGCGGTGAGGCACTCGCTGTCCTGCAAGTTGACCTCAGCGCCGCGCCGTAGCAGCAACTCCACCACCCGCTCGTGGCCGTGGCCGGCGGCGAGCATCAGCGCGGTGCAGCCGTCGCTGCTCTGCTTGTTGACCTCCGCGCCGCGCTGCAGCAGCAGCTCGACCACCCGCTCGCGGCCGTAGCCGGCGGCGTCCATCAGCGCG